TTAACAAGTGGGCTGTAAACTGCACCATTTCTAGCTGCTGTACGGAATTCCACGGCGTGAAGTCGATAACGATAATGACTACATGGAGCAGCGCACGACTCTCTCATCAATATGTCTTCGCGGCAGTGAGACATACTTTGGGAGAGGCCAACCTACTTTTTTGTTGCTTTCCCCTTTGTTTCAGAAGACAGACCATTCTGTTTCCACAGCAAGGAGCAACCCAACCGTGCTTTCAGCAAATAACGCTTTTTAATATATTATTCATATTCCCATAACCAAACATCCGTATTTTGCTCAGCAGGATCTTAATTTTGTTTTACTTAGTTCCCAGTCGAATTTGGTGCTCTTTCGGCCCTATTCCACGTTTTTTCAGTTGTATTTGCTTTTCGTTTCCTGCGCTTTTTCAACGCCTAGAGGTAAAAAGAAGGACCCGCACATTCCCTCACCTAGGAGGACTACTAACAAGGCTGTCAACGCGATCAACGCAAAAGGTTTTTCTTGGAGGGTGTAAAGCGCGAGATGGGTTTCGAGATACCGATACGCAAAAGATAAGCTAAAAACCGTGAAATATTACTCGTCGTTTAATTTGCCGAGCGAATAGGATGTCAGAAAAGCATCTTTGCTTGCAGTCAAGCTTCCTCCCATTATGCAGTTCCTGTCTGTTGCGCGAATTTTGCTCTCCAGCTCCGGATCGTCCGCATTTTCATGAGCATAGATATTTTTCTATAAAGACAAATCAACCAGCAACAGTCGCCTCTTTCCATCACATCAAAAAATAAACAGTAACGCACACCAGACTAGCCGGTGGGACCATACGTTTTGTGCAATTCAGCCCATCGAACGATTACCTATCTAATGATTTTTACTTCCTTGTACTTTAGTCTATGCAAAAATAGTTCAAACATTGAAAAACAGTTAAGAAAATGATTTTCACTGCTTTGTACTTTAGTCTATGCAAAAATAGTTCAAACATTGAAAAACAGTTAAAGATTTTTCACTGCTTTGTACTTTAGTCTATGCAAAAATAGTTCAAACATTGAAAAATAGTTAAAAATTTTATGCACCTGCGCATAAAAGCTGAATTCGAAACCTTGAAGGGTGAATATCTTTCCGTGATTCCCGAGTCAATAGTTTACGCGCCAAAATTTTCACGAGGCCATAAGGGATACCCGACAGCGCGGGAAAGCTGAATTTGAGTGGGCGGGGTTGAGCGTGGGCAGGGGGTCATCACCCTAAAATTTCAACTCCCTAGACCTCGTGGTTCCCGAGATAATAATTTACCGGTTAAAAATTTTCACAGAACCGTACTTGTTACCCGCGGGCAGAGGAAAGCTGAATTTAAATTTTCTGGGTAGCACATGGCCAGGAGACATTCTCACAAAATTTTAGCCTTCTACCCTTCGTGGTTCCCGAAATATTGATTTTACCCGAGAAACTTTTACGGGACCGTACGTGTTACCCGCGGACACGGGAAGGCTGAATTTAAATTTGCCGCGTCACCCGTTGGCGAGGAACACTATACCAAAATTTCAGCCGCCTTGCTTTTGTGGTTCCCGAGTTGAAAGTGCGAGGCAAATGTGGGACACACACACACACACGCGCACACACACACACAACACACACACACACACACAGACAACGCCATGACAATATGCGTTTTGTACTGCTGTTACACACAGCACAGAACGTATAAAAAGAGTCCTCTGCACAATTCAGTAGTCCTTTTTTTCCGCAAAAAAGTACCCCAGTGGGAGTGGGGGGCAATGCACTGAAATGATACCTCCTGCTCGGTGATGAAGCTGCGAGACTGCGCAATGGCGTCCAGCTTCCGCTCCTGCTCCAGAAACTGCACCAGCGAATGCGGCTGCGCCATATGGTACGGCGAATCGGACTGAACAATACACTCCAAATTAATTCGAAATCAATGCGTTGAAAGTTTGGCAAAGCAACTGCCGGCAATGACTTACAACGGACTGTATTGTGAGGCCGTCGTCAGTGACCATCCAATGCGTGAAACAAAATCCGCGCCCCCCGAGCAGCGCCAGCACCAGCAGCAGCAGCCACTTCCGCACCGGCGCACTCATCCACCGAGAAGCCTGCAACGAACGAATCGCTTCTTCGCTGCGCCACACTCACCACACTTTTAACTGACAGGCCAAAAACCCACACCTACCGCACCTAGCAACAGTAAGGCACCGCGGCTAGCTCCTGCGCTGCCCGAAATGTCCGCTAACAGCAGGCCAGCACCAAAGGCCTTCAACGAAAGCTCGGATGCTAATCCCGTAGAATCGCCTTTCCCAAAACTGGCAGGACAGCTATCAAAAACACACCTCGGCCAGGTTGGGAGGCCACCTCCAATGAGCAACAGAGGTCGGAGAGGAAGGGGAGGGGGAGAGGGGGGTAGAGGCGGTGGAAAAGGGAATGAAGGCTCGAGTGCGGTTTAGGAGTGCCATAACGGGATCGGAACGAAGCTGAAACCATGCTTGGAGGCAGGAATTGAAGACAAGCGCGAGAGAAGGGACACATGGCATTCTTATTCGCAGCATCGAAAACAGTACTGAAGGAAATTAGCAGCCTTGAACGCAACACCTATCAACACACCTAGATGAAAAACTTCAGTGTAGACCCGGACCCAAATACGCATAAAACGGTCTTTTCAATAACTCGGCTCAGCTCGGACTCGCCCGTCTCATACATGAGCAGCAAAAAATTTTTTTTCTCCCAACGGCTGGTAGGGCTGCCCAACAGCGCATGGTGGCAGTTTGAATGTGGCAGATGGGGTGCTGTGGAGTGGCTTTCGTTCGAGGCGGAGTGGGGGGCCAGGACAGGTGCATATAGGGGCTAAATGGTGCTTTGCCCATTGATTAATTAACGTACATTTGAAGGGAGAGGGGAGCGGTGATGAACGGAAAGGATGAGGAGGTATGCTTCTAGTTTTTACCGTAGATACCCGGAGTAGGAAAAGGTGGAATACTGCTTACTTGACAGCGCTATTATAGTAGGAATGGAGAGGGGTCTATATCTTGTTTACTAGCAGGATTTTGGACAGGGTGGAGAAAGGGAACGAGGAGGCAAGTCAGGAACTCGAGGCAAAAACTGAAGACAGCAGTAAAGAGAAAAAGACAACACTGCGCACACATATAAGAGTAAATTAAAGCAAATCTGACTTTTTGAATAAAAGCAAAAGAAAATGAGGTTTTGCTAGAGGAAAATGATCCATAAAAGCTGTCATCAGTAGCGGACTTCCCTTTTTATGAAACTGATGCTTAGGTGAAGCTTTTCCACAAAAACCTGTCACCAGCAGCGGACTCCCGTTTTTATGAAACTGATGCTTAGGCAAAGCTTTTCCATAAAAACCTGTCACCAGCAACGGACTTCCCTTTTTATGAAACTGATGCTTAGGTGAAGTTTTTCCATAAAAAAACTCATCATCAGACTTTCCTGTTTACGAAACTGATGCTTAGGTAAAGCTGAGAGCGAATAAGTTTTATAAAACGGTAAAATCAGGTAGAGTGGTTGCCTGGGGTGTAGTCAGCCTTTGTTCCTGTGAGATTTTGAAGACAAAAAAACAAAGGCATAACTGTTGTGTATAGTTGGAGGATGCGAGAGGCAACACTGTGGAATTGTCTGCAGTTCTTATGTAATCCAATCGGATTTATTTGCCTTCAGCTTCACCTAAGCATAAGCTCCAGTAGATCCAGTCGAACTTATTTGCCCTCAACTTCACCTAAGCTAAAGCTTCAATAAATCCTGTCGAACTTATTTGCCCTCAGCGTCACCTAAGCATAAGCTTCATAAATGCAAGGACCGCTTACTGAAGACGGGTTTTTGTAAGACAAATCCTACTCGCATAAGCTCTAGTTTTTTATGCGTTTTTTGCAGCAATGCAAAAAACGCATATTGACGAGAGGTTGTCTGTGTGTGTGTG